GTGTCTATTCAAGTTGGCGGAGGCCGTGTAGGTTTATTGAGTTACGTGGTTTTGTAGAGTTTTACTTCGTGGAAACTACGTTAATTTTTGGAATAAATCATCTTGTTGCTGTTCCGACAACCCTGCGTTCAGTTTAGTTTGCAAGCTACCTGTTCTCTAAAAGATTACCCGCGTAATATTGGGGGCCTGTCCGGGAGAGGAATTCAATTGTTTGCCGAGTACAATACCAAGTTGCTGAAGCAGTTCAAGTGCGTCATCTGTCGTCTTTACAGACTTAAAGAAATCCTCCATATAAAAATTTGCGCATTAACAGCACGAGCAGCAACGGGGTATTGCTGTCCATTGTCCTCTGCCGTCCTTAAAAGGGCATAATTAGAACACGTTGGTGCACACTTAGCCCCAGCGATATGTCGCAGGTACTGATAGACTTCGATTTCAGACTCCGGTTATTGGCGCCACAGAAAACGGAGGGCAGCTTGATCCTCTGGTGGGACAGCAGCTTGGTTAAACATTGTCTCTTAATGTCTCCAGAAAGGGCAATCTTTTCTTCTATGAATCGCATGAAGATTACAACAAGATTGTTTAGCAAGTCAGGTCCACTTACAAGGTGACTGTTCAATGAAGACCCTTGATACTTAGCAGCTGCATAACATACACGTCTGACCTATCCAGGTTTATTAGGGTTAAGTACAAGATGGTGAGGGAGACACCACGTACACTTTGTTGGTCAGCAGTTTCCTTTTTGGTAAGTGTCTTAATATACCCCTTTTTTAGGTCTGTGTCAATGGTTTTTCTTGTAGGCTTCGCCCAACTCAGGATCACGTTGAAGTCTCTTCTCTAGAAGACCAAGTCGATGAATAGCCACAACACGATTGTCAGGAAGTTAGATGTTTTGATCCGTCCAAAGCGGCGGAACCTCATAATGACCTTCTACCTCCGGCGTCCGCTCACTCAGGAACTTCAACACCTTTTCATCTTCGACAGAACGTTGCATATCACAGTCATATCGACATCCAAAGTTCTCGGTCCACCACCAAGTTTTAACTGTTTTATGAAGCACTTCATCAGGGGTTGTATGAACTTTGTAAACAGATTCACCGTGTTCAATATAACCAGGTAGACGCGACTGGTAACAGTTCACCTCAATTTAGTGCGAACACTAACAGGAGAACCTTTAGGTCCACATAAAGTCTCAAGAGGCACAATAAGTTCTGGGACATCACTTGCAAGGAGTAACGTGACTGGAGTTACAGAAACTTCATTCAACTCTAAGTCTGCAAGGTGTGGCCATTTCTCTCGTAGTTCTCTGAAGTTCACACTTCTTTCCGGCACGTTCAGGCGATCAACCACTAGAACTCTATGCACATCAAACCTTGTACCAAAGTCATTCAACTGACTAACTTGAACATCAACACGCTTCGTCAGCAGTTTTGATGATTTCTGAATTCCATTCAGCAGAACACTTTCCACTGGACCCTCAAGGCCAAGATTTTTTGCAACATCTGTTGCCAGCAGACTGCAAGTACTTCCAGTGTCTAACATTGCATATGTGTTGAAGTATCACTTTAGCCCATACAGGGTAACAGGCATAACTTGTAATAAAACAGAGTCACTACTACTCTTATGAGATGCACTAGAATGCTCGGTGGATGGGGTAGCTGCTTCTGGTGTTGTTTGGTTAGTTGATGCTGCTGTATCAATTCATTGTTCCCATCAGGTGTTACATTTCTCGACGAATGCAGTAGTGTATTGTGTCTTCGTGTACACCTATTCACTCCACACGGTTTCAAGTTCCTACAAGTGGTAAGCCAATGACCAGGTCGTAGGCAGCAAAAACACGGCTTATGCTTTTTAAGTTCACTGAGGCGTTCAGCTACACTTAAGGCTTTAAAATTGGGGCAAGCTGACAGGTTATGCTGCTGTTCATCTCCCATTAAACAAAATTTAGCTTGCTTGTTACGTGATGAGAAGTTACCAAAGAAAGTATTGTGCCTTTCACCAGCACCTTCATAGCGGCCTCTGAATGAGAACTTGAAGCAGTCATCCTAACTATCCGCCTGACCCTTTAGCCAGTTACAAAAGTCCTCCAGGCTTGGTTGATGTAAATTGCTTGTTATCACATTGTCCTTACTCTCGACTTGCAAATCTGGGGATAGTTTATCCACTGCAATAGCGATGTTAGCTTCGGCTGCTAGGTCATTCTTGTATCCAAACCTTTTAAAGATCCAGAGAGTAGTTGACACAATATCTGATAAGTTTCTCACTTCATGTGGTCTGTCATTCTTCATTCGCGATGTCTTTCTCAATCTGTCAAATGTAACTTTTACACTCCAAGTGACGGTTTTCCAAATCTAGCTTCCAATTCTTTCAATGCTTCATAGTAAGAATCCCCACTGTAACCATACCCTTCAATTGCAGACTTTGCTCTACCAACCACAGAGTTCTGAAGGTGTTGCATCTTTCCATTCAAAGACAAATCAGCATCATGAACAATTGATTT